TTTTGTTGAAGTTTTGCAGGAGCAGAGAAAGACAGAGCAACACTAAGTGCGAATTCTTCTACTTCATGAAAGTGAGCAAGTGTGCTTTTGGCTTTAAACTGGGTAGGTCAGAGATGCAAAACTAAATAATTTCCCTCCTTTGATACATTTTCTCTCTTTCTTCTTCACATCTAAGAATCTGTTATTAAATGAACAGTGTACATGGGTCAGACCAGAACCGTTTTGTTCTGCCCCTCTTGAAAGGACCTCCATTGCCTATGAATTTGCTTCTTGCAAAGGTAGATCTCTTCTTGTGAGAGTCCAGAAGATTAATAAGAGCTCCAGCATTTGCAACTTTCCTGGAAAAAACTTAAAACATTTCATTTAGAGACTTTCTCCAATGAACTTTAAAATAGCGTTGTTGTTTTATTAATTCTAGACTGTAGGGTCTGAAAGCTGCTTTATGAATGGCACAGACACTTAGACAGAAGGTACACAAGCTCTGGGCTATTCGAAAGATTTAGCAGAGATGCATTAGCTGAAGCCATAAGCCTCATTTTTACTGAAAAAAGTGCATAGCATGATTGAAATTCTGCATTCTGCATGGAAGCTTTTAGCTAGTTAACCTTGATGGCCACAAAAAAATCTTTAAGGTTGGAAATGACCTCTAAGATCATCTAGTCCAACTGTCCACCTGCCACCATTATTGCACACTAAACCACATCCCTAAGTACCACACCTACCCTTTCCTTGAGTGCCTCTGGGGACAGTGACATCACTGCTTCCCTGAGCAGCCTGTTCTAGTGCATTAATGCTCTTTTTGAGAAGAAATTCTTCCTAATATCCAACATGAAATATGAGTAAATGTAAGTTTTAAAAAGGTACTTCCTTAAGCAGACTTCTGAAGCACAGCTGGTTTGTCTGGATCTCTGACTCTGCAGATCTGTTTTGTTCATGTCAGCTGTGATGTTGAATCCCTCAACTTTTTGGCTTGTTTGCTCTGAATCCCACAGAACTTTTAGATAGGTAAAGTGAAGAGCTTACAGAGGAGATATGGATACCTGTAGCATCTTTCTGGCTTTGCTTCATATCTGATAACTTTCTGATTTGACTAAAAACAAATAAATCAACCAACCTTTCTCTGCTTCTCTCCACAATCCTTCTTTTTCATGCTTGTTTAAAAAAAAAAAAAAAAAAAAAAAACGCATCCCTGCCGTGACGTACTAATAAATAGCAGGGCTTGGGGAACTAACAGCCTGTCTGAGAGCATCCCAACACCTCTGTGCTTCTGCTGGGAGGTGCGTGGGGCTCTCACAGGCCCTACCTTTCCTGCGTGGATCTGGCCCGTGGCATGCAGAGCCGCATCCCCAGCGTGTGATGCTGCCCTTGGCCCAGCTGTGGTGCCTGGCGCCAGCAGTCTGCGTGCCTGCTGCCAAGCTGGGCCCACAAACGGATTTATTTCTGACAAAGGGCAACTGTCTGCAGGAGTTGTTGTCTTGCTTGGTGTTCCTAATCCCTGGAATAACTGCTGTGACAAGCATAGTAACCATCTGCAGTGCGACCCGTACATTGGTGCTTATCAAGTGCAGGAATCACAACCTTGTGAGCCTAGGATTGCTTTATTTCTTACTTTTCAAACTTTCAGAGGTAAGGCGAAGTTAGAAGCTCACACTCTGGAAAAGCCACCAGGAGCTCTAGTCTCTCAGGTGCATGCACAAATCCTACTTTTAGCTCTGTGAAGATTACATGAATCTAGCTATCTTCTCTAGCTTTTCCATGCGGTTTGAACAATAAAAGGAAGCACCATGAGTCCAGCATCCTGATCATTTAAAGAACATCTGTATAGTTCTGCCCGACATTCCCAGCCTTAGCAAGGTTCAGATTGCACAATGTAAAGAAATTAAGCAGTGGGAGGAGTCCTGTGTCTGTTCACATCTGTGCAAAGTAATGAGCACTGAGCACAGTGCCTGAAGGCAGAGGCAGGAACTGCCTGTTAATTACTTCTCACCTTTGCTAGGCACTGCTCTGTCTGATTTCCTCTCTGTTTCCAAGCTCAGGATTTAGGCAGGGTTTTTTTCTTATTACTTTTGGAGCATGTCAGTCCTATGGATTTATGTATGCATGTATCTTGCAGCAGTGCAAATCCAGTAACATGTACTGCATTGGTGACTTTTTTATTCTTGTTGCTTCAATCACTTTTACACCAGGAAATTCCTGCTTTACATCAGTGCAGTGTCCGACTTCCAGATTTGCATTTTTGAGCTGTTTATGTGGAAGTACCAAGTTATTATTTTTTATTTACAGCAAAAGTTTTCTGTTATAAACAGCCATAATCTTTTGATGCTGAAGGTAATCATTGCATTCCAGTTACTGACTCTTAAGTTAGGCTGTGCTGCTTAAAGGAAAACTGCATTGTTTACATCTGGCAAATTATCTAAATGAGCAAAATCTATATTAAAATGTCTGTCACTCTGTCAAGCTTGTTCTTTGATTATTTGATCATTTCTCTGGGTATTTTTAAGAAGGGAAATAAAAAAAGGCAAAAAGTCTGAATGCAATGCAAGGCAGATGGCCTCATAAATACATAATGGAAATAAAGCCAAGCTACAACATACGAGATTTTGTGGGTGGACAGTGCCAGTATGTCTTATTTTAAACCCTGAGGTTCCCCAAAGCTGTACAGCTTCACCAGAACACAGCTACAGGGGACACTTGGTATAGACCCAAGGGGTATTTCCTTGTGCCCATCTTCCTCCCTGCTGCTGTTGACAGACATCCTGCAGCTGCACAACAACAGCATAATTCTGCTGTCACACTGCAGCTGGGGAGAGATGGGCCTCCTGTGTGACAGGAAGATAAGGGCTCCAGATTTGAGTTTTCTTCTGACGTTGGGTAAAAAAGGCAATGTTTCCAAGGTGGAAAAACAGGCAGAGGTCAGATTGGAGACAGGTTTAACTGCTTTTCCAGGATACACCATGTCAATATTTTTTTCTTTAACTTTCTGAGAACTTAAATAGGCAGTGTTGTTTCAAAATGAGATGGAGAGTGCTTGCTCGGGAAGTCGCATCCACACCTGGAAGCCCCTCATTTCCCATCCTGCTCTAGCAGCATTTAGCTTTGTGGGCAGGAATTGCTGCATCCTTACACTGCAGCCAGAGCCATTCCTGTGCTGCTGACAGCAAGGAGCAGTGCAGAAGTTAGGGGGCAGCTGGCTGTTGCAGTGTAGGCTGTCTGTGAGACAGCGGGCAGGGCTGGAGGTCATGTTTCTTCCCTTTTTTTATTCTTCTATATTTTCTTCTTTTCTTTTCTTGTTCCTTTATTGCCTCACTTTCATTCCTTGCTCTTCAGTAAGTAGATTTCAGAGAGAATGCCACTCAATGCAGTGTTTTATTCTGAAGGATCAAACACACAGCAGTGCTAAGGGAGGGGTGCTGCTGTGCTCGTCCCCTCTGGGCTGCGCACCATCAGTGCTGCAGGGTTATTCTGAAGGACAGCAAAGCTGAAGGACTCCATAGGGAATGGCAGATTGAAAATCTCTGGTTAGAGAAGGGGAATGAGCAGGAGAGACACCGCTTAGAATGGAAAGAGGGGCTGTTTGGTAGCAGCGTTCGTTGAACAGGTCAAGGGTTCAGGAAATGCAGCTGCTCCAAGCCCGGAAAGTGCTAAGCTTGTGTTGCAGGGAAGCTGGAGTGCAGCAGATGAACTGTTTGAACCTTTGTTGTACCAGCAAATCGACCTTTGGGCCTGACCTCGCTGCCCTCACAAATCTGGGTTCCAAATAAAACCCAGGGCAGGATGGGGGCACCAGCACTTCCCGCTGGGCGCTGCTCACAGCTGCTGGTGACACATGCTCCGTGGTGGTCATCACGCCTGGGATCGGTGGTAATGTCCTCATTCCTCTGGCTGATAAACTCGATAAGCTTTATGCATTTGGTCAGCTACTTCATGCATGTTCGGCCACAGCCTGGGTGAGCATGTGGTTGCTTCATCAAATGCCCAAGAAAAGTGTCAGAGTCCAAGGGATGGGTTTGACAGAACCTCCCTTATTTACGCGGTGCCAGAAACACCTGTTGGCTCGAATATCTGTGTGGGCTCGGTGTGTCCTGCAGTGAGAACTATCCTTACTACATTAAAGTAGGAAGCTCAGATTTTTGGCACACATCATGACCAAAGATGTGTGAATCATTTTGTTAATTAATAAAAATCTGAAATTTTGCATGGCATTTTAAGGTGAACGGTGTTGAAAATACTTGTGCATTTCCTACTAATTCAGTAGGAATTTTGCCACATTTGAATGAGTAATGATAAGTATCTTAAAACAACTGTTGAACTCCTACATCCTATACACCTGGGGTACCATTCTGCTTGAAGAAGTGCTTGAAGGCACTTTTTTTTTCTGTATGTCACAAACAGCTTGCATTGTTTTTTATAGATACAAGTTATTGGCTCTTCATTTTTTTTTTTTTTTAATAAATTAAACAATTGCCTAAAATGTTTTAAAAATTAATTGCAGTTTTCCATTAAGAGCAAACACTCTGAAGTCCCCTTGTACAAATGAAAGATTTTGCTCATGTTGAATAGAAACCCAATTAAAAGTGAGACTGGAGCATAACGGTGTACAGCGGCAGAAGTCTGGGGAGATGGGGATGGGGAGTGCTCTTCAGACTCTGGGTTCTGCATGTTACCAGATCCTGCTTTAAGCCTGTTGTATTTTGTGCAAAGCAGAAAGAACTGTGTAAATGAGTGATTAGAATGACTCTAATATATGAGACATGCTGAATTTTATGCCACAGCTGGAGAAACTTATCATTAATTGAAGCTGTGAGCAAATGTATGTCATTTTTGATTTAACATTCTCCCTCACCCCTGCACCCCCCACCCCAACCAGAATTCTTCCTGGAGTCAGATTATTGCTGTAGACTTTGTGAACTCCTCTCTTCTAATGTTTAATCAAGTGCTGAAAAGAGACATTTACAGACTATTTAAAATGTGGAAAAATTGCTTCCCAATATTTTTGACAGAGAGAGACTGAGAACACACAGCATTGAATCATCAGGAAAATTGAAGATTTCCCCTGAACAGCATTGGGATTTTACAGCAGAGGACTTGAAAGACCTTGGAGAAATTGGACGAGGCGCTTATGGTTCTGTCAACAAAATGGTCCACAAACCAAGTGGGCAAATTATGGCAGTTAAAGTAGGTGATGCCCATCCTTACATTTGTACTTCAGTCCATTAGGGATGAAATGTGATGGAGAATTCATGTTCTTCCATCGACAACCCATCTACTGCTCTTTTCTTTTATTTCCAATATAAAGGCTGCTTTTTGCTGAAAATGCATTGTATAACAGGCATGTTGTCAAGTGATTTGTGACACTCTTGTAATTGCTTGTGCCCTTTTGAAAATGCCTATCAGGAACTTACTGTTTTAAGAGGATCACATGTTTCTGGAGACTGGTAATGGGGCATGGGCCTTTCACCTCTGGGTCACTGGTTCGGATACAGCCAAGGTTGGTTGTAGGCACAAGCTGATGTCTGGCAGCTTCTTGGTGTCTTTTGTGAAATAAGGCAGTGATGTGAGATTTGCTTTTTATGTAAGCATGTTCCCATGGTGTAGCAATTAACCACCTCCCCACAAGGAGCTGGAATGGGGATCTTCCAGGGAGTGGTTTGCTCTTGCTGATACGTGATGGTGCGTATTTGCTTCCTGCTTACCATGTTGGATCTGCTGAGATGGAAGGTGTTGTGGATTGCAGGATTGCCCGTTTTCTACCTTATGCTGCCCAAAATCTCACCTTAGAAGCATGAACAATATGCAGCCTCATTTCCCAGCTGGGCAATGCGGAGTAGTCTTTGTTTTGCTGTAGCAGTGCTTCTCACCAGGCGTTTCTGAGGAGCTGCTTGTCCATTGAGCTGGGCTTGGTGGACAGCAGCCATTCTCTCTCTTCCTTATCCTTTACTTTGCTTGCTGCTAGCTAGTAGCTAATGACATTAGTCTTTTAAGTTCGCTGATGATGTTAACTGTACATGCTCCCATAGCTCATGTGAAAGAGTAGAAGAGAGCTTTGAACTGTGTAGAAGTTGGTGTCACTCTCTTTTTCAGCTCTCTCTGTCTTCTTGGGCTGTTCTCTGAATGATCTGGAAACATTTGCTGCTGCTGGCCTGGTGTGGCATGTAGGCAGACCACAACCCCAGCTCTAGCTGCTACAAATGTAATTTGTACTCGTCTGAACTATATCAGGCTGGAGTAACCAGCATCCCTTAACTTTCTCCTGTAAATGTTGACATCCTCATAGGGGTGGGATCATTGGCTGGGCCTCACAGCTTTGGAACAGAATGCAGTGGTATTGATGTTTCATTGTGAATTTTTTTTAATCCCTCAAAGTCATCAGTGGAACTGGAGGCTGCCCGTAAGTGAAGACCTGGTTCTTTCAGTTGCTTTTGGTGGAACTGTTAGGTGGAGTTTGCAGATGATAGGTTGAAAATCACTGATGAGGTGAGATGATGCCTGGGCACCATGTCCACAGTATGTGTCCTAGGCAACAGGTTTTACAATCATGATGGCTGTGGGTCTGAAAAAAGCTCTGCCTATAGCTAAGTGGGTTTGTGACAGAGCTCTGCAGTGGGTACAGCTCTGCTGCAATGAGTGCTTTGTTGGGCTGGCTAGTGTCACCAAGAAGGAGATGTGTCTGCTGGCACAGAAATTCTCTTGTCCCAGACTATGTTTGCAAAGGGATTTTCTGGATGGTAGTGAAGTGTGGTCAGTGTGGATGGGCTGCAGTGCAGGTACAGCTCCCACCTGCAAGGTGGAAGGCTCCAAAAGTGCTCTTGCCCACTGTTGGAGGTGGCATTGCACATCTTATTGAGCTGTCTTTGCTGAGGCAAGAGAGGTGTGTGCAATTTCTGCGGGTGCTGGGCATGATGGCTCAGCATGAAGCAAATAAAACCCCCTAATTTTACAGTGTCTGAATTTTGAAATGTCAGAGTAGCAGGCTGGGTGATGCCACTTTCTTTTCTCTGAACACACCCCTGTCCCTGCTGCACTTTTCTTCACTGAAGGGAAAAGGGAAGCTGGAGGCTCTGGGCAGCCACATCTGTTTCTAAAATGTTAGGAGTGAGGGCTGTTCTGCATTGCCAATGGGGATAAAATGTGACTGAGCAAAGGAAAATGTATGAGTGGAACAGTATGTGACATCTCTGCTGCAGAAAGAGCTATTCCAAAGCCTGGATGGTGCAGTTTCAGGTGAGGCTTCAGGATAGAGCTGATTCCAGACTACCTACTGGTTCATTCCAAAACACTTAGCCTTTTCTCTTCTCAAATTGCTGTTGCTTTTGGGGCAGTCTGTGTTGTGCAGTATCCTGCTTTGTTCCAGTCTGCTTTATAGTCCATCTGTGTTTGGGGCCATCCATCTCCTGTTCTCTCCGTTTCCCCCAAGCCTGTGGTGTCCTCCTGGCTTATAAAGCTGTTGCCTTCTGAAGCCCCAGCTCCTCACCTGCCTCCAGGTAAACAAGCTGCTCTCTGTAGTTTCTCCTTGCTATACAGGCAGGAATTTAATTTGATATATTCTCCTTCAAATTGAAACTATCCTAAGAGAAAAAGCATAGAAAATGAATGGTTGAGAGGAAGCCATGTCAGTCTGATGATCTGAAGTTCTAGCTATGATCTAAGTCACACCTGCTTGCAGTTCAGTGTTGTGGCACTGTGCGTTGTGCCTGGCCTTGAGGACATTGAATTTCAAAACCAGTGTATCTCATTATTTGGTGGTACTGCTGTTCCTGTCCAGTGCTTCCCTAAGAGCTGATTACAGCAACACCAGGGCATCAGGCAGATCCCTTGGAAGGGGAGGAAATAGATTTTTGGAGGCTGCAAGCCAGAAGTTGTCTGTTCTGTACTGATGAGTGAAAGACAGAGAGAGCTCCAGAAGCTGCTAGTTAGATGCAGAGAAAATTGCTGTGTGGGCCTCATCCAGTTTCTCCTTCATCCTCTTCCATCACTATCCATGACAAGATTCTGGAGCAGTCAGCTGTCTTCCACCCCACTTATTCCTGGCAGGATCAAGTCCTATTTGCAGTTACCATCTCCAGGCTGCATCTGCATGCAGCTTGTCAGTCCCTTCTGCAGACAGGTTCAAATCCTGCTTGTTCCAGAGGCGTGCTGCAGTTACATAGTAATGAACAGATGAAGAGTTGCTCTTTTCCCATCTTGGAGTTTCCAGCTCCTGCTGCACCCAGACAGCCTGGCAGCTTTGAGCACTCATCCTGCACACCTCTCAGGCTTGAGGAAACGCAGCTGCTGTATCAGACCTCAGATTGTTTCCACTTCCTTCTTCTGGCTTTTCCTACCCTGTCATGCCACTTTCATGGCACTTTGCAATCTTTGGTTCCTTCAAGCATTGTTTACATTCACCTTCTGCTTTCTCTCTGCATGGTGCCCTGTGTTTTCCCTGCAGCATGTGTTCTGCTGTGCTCCTGAGTCCCCAAGCAAAGCTCAGGGGCTGTCCCTCCTGTTTCTACTTCTTACCACAGCAGTCTCCACTCCTGTGCATGCTGAAATAGCACCAAAACAACTTGAGATGTGCAGGTGAAAGCACAGTTTCCCTTCATTTCTCCTTTTATGCAGTTTGGTCTGATCAGCCAATGTCTGGATCTTGGCAGATGTAATCCTGGGACTTCTAATGAGGGTGTCCTGTGACTGTCAGGCCGTTGGGCAAGACTGAAAGCTTTTATCTGGTACTTCAGCATCAGCTGTAGAGGAGGACAATACACCCCTTTACGTCACTGGTGTGAAACCAGTTCAGCAAAGCTTCAGGCTGTTGGAGAAAGAGGCTTCGATGATAAATTCTTGTGCTACATTATTATATTATTGTGCTTATTGCCTACAGGCAGGCAATTGCAGGATTTGCTGTGTTGCTTTTGCATCCCCTGCTCGACCCATTGAAAGCCTCTTCCCAGGCACATCAGGAAGAGGGGGAGGTGGTAAAAGAAAAAGGAATCAGACTCAGAGGATTTATATGCAACATTTTTTCATTTTTCTCTATGAAAAATATTCTATTTTTGCAAGATTGAAATAAGAATCCTCTTGTTCCTTAAATCCCATTTGTCTCATAGGTCTTCCTACAGATTCCAAGTGCCTGTTCACTCTGGATCAGCAGGCACCGTGATCTTCTCCTCACTCAAAAAATCCCTATTAATTTTCCTGAGAATTTATTTGCATATGAGGTCAAGACTGTCCCTTATGGGAAAGAAAACAGCCCATTTTTGTCCATTGCCAACTCTGTGCAAATTCATCACTGCAAGGCCAGTTTGTACATGAACTCTGTACCTCCTTGGCAAGTTTCTCTTCTGGAGTCCTTTTCCTTGAAGGCAGTATCTGCCCTGGCCCACATTTGCCTGTGGCACCAGCATCAGTTCTCTGTGATACTGTCTTGTCCAGCTTCCAAGTTTTCACCCATCGTCCTTTCGCTTTGTTTCTGGTTTCTTGTTTGCTCTTCTGTTCTTGTTCAGTCTGTGTCAGTCTGTAAGTCACTTGTGAACAATCTCCCTGCAGGAAGCCCTGGTCTCTTCCCAGGATCTGCTGCACTCTGTCACTCCTCATCTTATTGCTGAGGCTTCACAACACATGCTGCCCCAACCCCTTTGGTACCTGCCCTCCAGTATCACCATATGTTGTTGTCATAGCTGCTCCAGGGGGCTGTGCATCTTGTTTCATGAGGATACCACACAGCCAAAGAACCAGACTGTCATTGTCAGATCAAAGTCCCATTTTATTAGGGTGAAGTGGTTTCCTTGGGAAGCTCACCAAGCAGCTGAGGGTTATTTCTGTCCTGAGGTTTCCCTTTAAGCTTGGTGATCAAAACGAGATGTTAAAATATCCTTGTTTTCCCAGAGTGATATAAAAATATATAAATGAAACGTCTCCCAGTCTGAATGAATGCTAGGAACTATTCTCACTGTTGGAGCATGATGCTCTGCTTACTCCTTAAATAGCGCAGATAATACGTAGCGTGGGTTTTATTAACCAGAATTCTGAAGGCTGGGAGGGTTTCTTGCTTGAAATGTTCCCAAGATAAATAATCAAATATTTGACATGTCCAGCCTTTAACCTGTGAAGCGATGCTTCTGCCAGCCCGGAGCCCAAGCACAGCAGCAATGGGAAGGCACAGCTCAGGCCCCTGCACTCCCCTCCAGCCTCCTGAACCACAGCTCTCCAGCTGTAGGAAACACCCAGAGGTTTTGGTTTTGGTGCTAGAAGCTTCTAACAATTTCTTCCTCTTCTGCTTCTCTTGTTTTGAACTGCCTGAAAAATGTGCTGTCAAGAGCCTGTCAAATGGTTTGTGCTTCAGTTGGTGTTCAGGCTTCTTGTCAGGGCTGCATGGACAAGTCTTACACCTCTTGTGCTTTTTCCCTCAGAAATACACCTAGGGAGTGAGCAAACTGTGGAGGGGGCATTTTTGTCCGCAGTCCTTCAAGTTTTCCTCCACTCCAGAAGCACTGATTTTCAGCTATGTACCAGAATTTTCTGTATCTTGTAGTATCTGTCCGCAGTACAAATCAATCTGATTCAGTCTTTTTCTGCAATATTATCTAGTTTAGTTCCCACTTCTAGCCAACATGTTCGGATTTTGTTGGTTTTCTGTTTTTTGTGTAGTCCAGCAATAGTTTTGACCAGACTACAGGCGGCCTTCCACTTCTTCTGCAGTTGTCCTAACAAATTCAGAAGCAATTCTAAGATCAGCTGGGTAATCAGAGAAGCTGGCTGAGGCACTGTTTGGAAATACATAGGATGTCAAGCCTATAAAACATCTGTAAAAGATCTTTGTTCTTCCAGGAGAAGTCAGTAAGCTGTGAAGCTGTTCCTGGTTCAGAACACAGTGCCTCTTTCACATCATTTTGCATTGTAGTCAGTGCTTGCTCTCTTACCCATTGCTTTAAAACAGGTGTTTAAGTCTTGGCTTTCACGGATTTTCACTGAAGGCAGTTCCACAGTTGAAATAGGTTGTTAAGTATCAGATGTCCTTGAGAGCAGAAGTTAAACATTTATTTATACCTCTGTAATTTATCCATCATTTCCTGGATATCTGATAGCACTCTAAGATGACACTCAAGTGGATTAAGTTCAACCAAGGGGCATGTTTCTCTGACCTTCCTGTTTCCCATATGATTTTGGAAGAGGAGCATTAGGATTTTTGTGAGCTGGCTTTGTGGTATACATTTCAATTCTTGGCACAATTAGATACAGTCCCTGAAGCTGACTACTTATCTTAGAATTTATTGAGGAGGATTTTCTGTTTCATTCATCTGTTTGGGTAGTTGGCTGAGAGTAAGGGAAGGCTGTTCCAAACCCTGCTGATAAGATACAGAGGAAGTAGTGAATGATGAATTAAAAGGAAATGGTGAAAGACTGAGTCTTTTTAGAGGAGACAGAGGCTAGTTGTGATCAGTGGAAGACCTGACTTGCTTTTTTCAGGACTAAAAGTGTTATGGATGGGTAGGTGAATGTTCTTGTCCTCAGCAGCAAGTATGCAAAACCCTCTTCCAGTTCTCTGTTCCTGCAGGTAACCCAGCCCACTGGGGCACTGTCAAGCACCACTGCTGTGCTTTCTTCTGAGTCCTGTGTGCAGAACAGTGCTATTTTTCCTCTTAGCTCAAGAAGCAGGTTTTCAGTTTCGTGCCTTTTTCTTCCTTTTCTTCTTTTCCTCTTTACCTTTCCCCTTTTTCCTTATTCCCTTTCCTCTTTCTCAACTGGTTGCTACCCACTGCACCTGAATCTTTTCTTGTGTATACTGAGGCTTGGTGATGTCTCTTCTGTTTTGGGTCTGCTTTGTGGGATTTGCCTGGTTTGAGGTTCGAGCTTTCCAATCCACAGAGCATAGCTTAGGATTTTGCTGCTGATGCTGTCTGGAGCACAACTTTCAGAGCCCTTGTTTCTGATGTTAGAAGGCTTTATCCTAACCTGAGTTTGTACTAAACGGGATGAAGAATGTACTTCTGAAGGGTTTGTTGCAGTTTGAGGCCAACAAGGAACTGTTAAAAATGAGACTTCCTCTATCTGCTAAAAAAAAAACCTTCTTCCTTATGTAGATTGTTTGGCCATAGCAGCACCTGCATGCAGTAGAGTAACCAGGCTAAGATGTGTAGGATCTGAAGACAAGTGAGACCTGTCTGTCCCATTAAATGGTGTCACCAGACTGTTGCCTTGCTTTGTGTCTTTCCTGCTATTTCCCACATCCCTGGAAAGTCTGTATGTGGGAACAGCTGAGTGTCCTGCCATGGAGTTAGATAGTGGGTCTTCATTACAGCTCATGTGCTATTTGAATAATGGTTGCTGGTGACTTTGATTACCTTTTGCTTTTTCTTCCTTCTTCTGCCTGGAATGCTGTTCCTTAGCTGGTGAATTGAGACTGCTGGCATGCAACAGACTGTCCAGGCAAACAAAGCTGTCTTCTCCAGCCTGGGCTGCCCCCTGCTCTGTGCTGTGCTGCACATTGCCTCTGATTGTTTCGCCCTCATCCCCAGCAGTCTTTGGACCTTGAAGCGATGTTTGCTCAGGAGTTCATGCTGGCTTCTCAAGTTGTCCTTTGGGTGCTGCATCTGCATGGATGCTCTGCAGTATAACTGACTGACAGTCCATCCTCTGGGTCCTTTACTTGCTCTTGCTCTTTCTTCCAGAAGAGATTGTGGTTGGCAAAAGGAGCAGTGTTAGGATTTGGTGTTGTTCCAAGGTGCCATTAAAATAGCCTCCTCTATACAACGTATCTTATATGCTTTCCAGAGATGAAGAAATAAGAGCAGAAAAGGAAATATCAGAGGTGGGATGAGATGCTTTTGGATGAAGTTGTAGAATTTGAGAAGCACACTGCAGGGAAGGCTAGATTGTGCAAATGTGAGGGTGATGCAGAGGGAAGCTGAGAAGATTCTTGGATCACCATGAGAAAGGCTTTTGAGGGGCTGGGAGATAGGGAGTTGGCATGGAAGAGAGCTGTGAGTCACAGTATAGAGAAAAGATTCTTCTTGTATTGCTCCTCACCTTCTTTGTGAACTTTTCAGAGAAGTGCAGAGAAGCATCTAAACTGTCCCTCAGACATCCCACCACAGTGGCTTTGCCATCCGTCATCTTCTGTCAAGGGTCAGAACAATGTCATTATCATTTCATACAGTGATAACGGTATGCCATCTAGAAAGAGACATTCATTCTGCTTAGCCTTTGGTGTCCCAGCGCGGGGTTGTAGAGCTTTATGTGACTTTATGTGACTTTCTTCAGTGATGGCACTGAACTTCTGCAAAACAGATTTGAACCAGTGACCTAGAGGTGAAGTGGTTTAGTTCATTGCTAGTCCCCTCAGCCATCTTCTTGCTCTATTTGCAACTACAAAATATCACCCACTCGGTGGCTTTGCAAGGTGTGTGGATGTGCTGGACAGTTTTCCCTAGTACTCTAGAATCCATTGGGAGGGAAAAGGGTAGCATGAGCACAACAATTACTGGTCTAGGCCGAACTAGAATGTAAAAAATGAATGGTGAATTAACAATATCAGGATGCACCAAAGGTAAGGAAAACTGTAGTATCAATACCGTCCTCATTTTTTGTGATTCAGCACAAAAAAGTCTAAAGGTACAAAATCATGCACTGTTTCTTAAATGATGTGATATGAATAGCCAACCTTGATGGTACCTTCACATGCTGAGCCCTGTGCTTGTTAACATGTGTGGTCTTGCTGCCACCAGCAGTTGTTTGCAGGGCAGGGAGCTCTGCCTAGCAGTGCTGGTAGGACTTGGTGCTCGTATCACATAAGTTTGTCCCAGAACCTTGAATATTTTTTCTTTCCTAGGTGCCAAGTAGTTTTTCTTCTCAAGGAGTGCCTCGGCTACTTCTGTTGCTTTGGACTTCTTGACAATTATTTTTTCTTTTTTTTCTTTTTTTTTTTTTAATTATTTATTCTTCAGGGTCATGATTTTCCTCACATTTCAGGGAATGCATTAATTAGTGCAACTTGTTAAATGTGTTTGCAAAAGTAACATGAAAATCTTTGGATGGTCCACTCCATCCTTCATTTAATGAGCTTCATGTTTGGAAGTGTGCTATCTTCTGTTTTCAAACTTGCATTGTTCTTTCCCACTCAAATCATAGATTTCCTTACGTATAGTGTAAAGAATAGTGTGTGTATATATATATATATATATATATATATATGTTTTCAAACATACAGTATGTCTATATTTTGTACATTATATCTTAATGTTACCTCGGCCAAATATTGTTAGTTTTATGAGAAAGACTGTTGCTCACCATTAGGGTTTCCAGAGAAATGTGTTTCCTCGATTACCTGATGGGCCATTTTCAGTGTCAGTTGTGGTGGAGGGAATCGTTTTGTCTTCTTTGCTTTTCTTATTGATTTGAAACATAATATTCCTTAGTTAAATTTCAAATTGGTCTTTGAGCCCCATCCAGTATTGCTAAGAACTCTGTGGGTATTTGTTTTGAAATAAAAACCTGAATGTATTGTTTCACTGTAGGCTTCGGTGAAATCTCTGCTCTTTGATTTCATTCTGCCATTTCATCTGAAAATGATGATGCTTAATGATAGTAAAACTTAATTGGGTATATTACAGCCTGAATTTAACAACTTTTGGGGTTATCAGTTAAAATTCTTGTTTGACAATGTAGTTCAATTATGTAGTTCGATTCTCTAGAGTGTGTTTGAGCATGCTTTGGGGATTGCCTGCTCAGCCTTGGGTTTGGGGTCCTTGACATGTTTCTCCAGTGGTGGTTTGGAGGATACAGTAATGGCATGTAAGTGATAAAGTCTCTGCCACTCTTCCTCTTTCAGAGAATTCGGTCGACAGTGGATGAAAAAGAACAGAAGCAGCTTCTGATGGACCTTGATGTAGTAATGCGAAGCAGTGACTGCCCATATATTGTTCAGTTTTATGGTGCACTCTTCAGAGAGGTGGGGACTCCAAACTTGCTTCATTCATAGCACAGTTTGTTTTTCTGCCTTTTTTGTCTTTGCAGTTGCCAAATTGCAGTAAGGATGAGAAAATTAATTTGTTAGGATTTCTAGACTGCCACCTTTAATCAAGGTTATTTAACCAAAATACCCAGATGTTTGAGTGCTGCTAAACACCTAGATGCTCTCCCCCTTGTTATTATATCTGTCTGCATATTTCAGTCTCTCCTTCAATGAACTTGAGGTTCCTCGTGCAAGGTGAGTGCTGTTGGGCTGGGTGCAGCTCTGCAGCACCATGCTTGGACACAAGTGTGATCAATGTCAGCGGTTGTCAGAAAGAAGCACGTGGAGGACGTGCAAACTCAGTATCCCTGTAATAAAGGTGGCTGCTGGAAGCAGACTTTAACCTGATGTATATATAGGTGTATGTGTGCACGTGTGTATGTACCAGGGCTGTGTCAGACCCATGATATATGTACTTCTTCCCTGAAGTTTGTACGTGCAGATGCATAAGAACGAGTGACCTTGCTTGGTCAGAGCAGCGGGTGCTCCTGTCTCTGGGCCCACAGGATCTGCTTACAGAAGCATGTGCATGACTTTGGCATAGCCTTCAGTCATGTGTAGATTAATGTCTTCTGAGCTCTGTCTTTTGCTTAGTGATTTTTCCTTTGAATACCTGTACATTTTTTGCATTTGTAGTGCTTCCAGAAAGGGTCTTCCTCTGGTTGTGCACCCTTCATTTGGAGCACCACAGTCCATTTCCAGTTTTCATCCCACTATTCTGAATGCTGCTCCCAGTGATTCCCTTGCTGTCTGTATTTGATGAGGCAGTTGCTCCTTTTCCATTCTGTCCAGGCTCCTGAGGATCTTTTGGAGTGTTGCCATTTTCCCTGCCTACCATATCTTCTTCTTCAGCCAGATAAGTGCCAGCTTGTGTCATACACAGAATTCATTCTGATCTTTGATAATCTCTCTTGCTGTTATCTGCATCTTTTCCAGTTCTGTGCTATCCTTTTGGTACCACAATTGCATTACTGTTCTTGAAAGGAGCAGTACCTGCAATAGCTTGCCTAGGGGCAGTAATTTTGCTTGGACCTTTAATGCACATAAATACTCTGTGTTGTGGAGTGAGTGAGTTACCCAATATGACACTTCCATGAGTTGTATCAAGACCAGAGTTAGAGCATCAAAAGATATGTAAGCTGACCACTGTTAATCCTGGCATAATTCGGTTCTGCATGGCCAGGAATACAATGTTAATCACTGCATTTTTGTGACTGTTTTAGCATCTACTTATAATATACATAATTTAAGGTATGAATTACTCTGCGAGACAGAATTATTCTGTCTCCTTGTGCCTTGCCCAGGCACTCCCATTGCCTTTGAAATGACCAGTAAAAACAGTTGGGAATTGGTGTTGTACATGCAGCCTTAACAATCTTTTGCCATGCTTGCATATTTTCCTCTACTTGAGCCTACCTAGAGGAAGAAGAACAACAGTGAGTAGATCCCTGTTTTCCATCCTTGCATATTATCTGGCATTGCAGCCTATGCTGAGCCTGTAAGGGCTTTACTGGGGTGCTGTTAGAGGAAGAAGGTGAATCTTGGAATTTAAAGCTCACAGTTGGAACTGAATATTCAATTCCTGCTTCTCAAGAATCTTCCTCTGTGATTTCATCGACTCTTTTCTCTGGCTTTGAATCTCAGTCTCTAAATTAAGGCTACTGATCCTTCCTTTTCCCATGCTTCACCTTGTCTTATTTGTTGAATATTTCGGGCCAAGAAGCGTCCCTGTTCATGCAGTCTGAACTCCTACTGAGTGTGAAGGCTCAGCCTTGGCTGCAAGTTGGCAGCTTTGCTGAAATACAAATGATAAGGCTGTCAGCTAGTTTGAAGAAAAGTCTCTGGGCAAGGCCATATCTTGCCAGTTGCTGATGAGCAACATGTTCAGAGCTGCATGAGCCTGTCACCTCTTTGCAATTCTAGGCACATTCCAGAGTGTAAGCGTACATACATCAATAATGCAAAAACCTGCCTGCTCAGTACCCAGCTGTCAGTCCGGCCTTTGCAGCAGTATTGTCAAAAAGCCTGTTCTCTTGCAGCTAGGCATTGTTCTTTGGGCAAGGCTTCAGTAAGGTCACCCTGGGATATATTTTGATGGTCCCTGGCATCCCCTCTGCCTTCACCCTGAGCATCAATGGTGTGGGATTCTTCCCCTCACCTTGGCTTCTTCCTGATAGACTTGGATGAGTTTTCTGTCTTGTCATATTAATTAAATGTTCAAATGTAAATCACATTTTTTAAAGGAAGGAAAACTGTGACTACAGAGAAGAGAAAAAACGTATTTAAGTGAAAAAAAAGATTTTCAGCAGTATGTTTGAACCCTCCAACTCTAATCCATTCCCAAAGTAATGGAATCATCCAGCTCCCTGATGCAAACTGAGTCACAGGACCACATGGGACTAAACCTCTCTCAGGAAGTCCTACAGCAATACATGTGTCAACAAACCTTGTTTTTCAGCATTTTAAGGTGAAAAATAAGGAAAAACATTCCAGAAGACAGATCTTGAGACCTTCTGCTCTGAGCCAGGATTCAGATTCTCTGGGAATAGATGGAGCTACAGGTGGGAAATTTTCTTCCTCCTGCTCCTAAAAGGTAAAAAACTTCTCTCTGAGTCTCTTTAGAGGAGCTAGAATATGGAGCAGACACCTCTCATAATCACATAATTGGCAAGAAGGTTGTAGCAGCTTCAGGAGGAGCAATAAGACAGCTGGACTGTTCTGAATGGCAGGTACCTCTCTGAAGGACTGAGCAGTTTGTGCTGAGAAGCAGAGCTCTCCCCTTGTGGTTTGGGGAGTAGGAATAGTAGGACAAATTGAATGGAACTTACTTTGAGGGCAGTCATATAACTGTAAACAGACAAGTTGCTGTGACAGCCTCTATGAGTATAAAATGTTTGATTTGGAAAAGCAAAAAATATTGCAGGTGAATATTTTCCCTACTTGTATTCTCACTTGTTCAGCAAGCATTTTTTGATAGGAAAATGTTTAAAATGCTGCTTTGTCTCTGGCAATTCTGACAATTTGAAAGCTTCTTCTTGAAAAATTGCTCAATGCCATAAGCTACAGCTATACCATCGATCCATGAAAACCAGACTGGGGCATGAATAAGCATCATGGAAGCTTGACATGGGATTGAGTCTTTTCTGGGGAGTGGTATTGGTTGTCCCTCAGCCATCAACACCTTTACCTGTGTTTTATTTGCTCCTTGTTCTTCAATCATGTAGTACATCTTTCTGTTAGGTATGTTTACAAATACAGTGTAATGTATATCAATGCAAAAACTGTATGTAAACTATCAGCAGTGGAACTTGGTGAGAGTTTTTAGGCACTCACTCAGATGAAATTGAATTACCTACTTAGTGAAACATGAATAATGGAAAAGCAACATTTCAACCTTTGCATGAATAAAGGAGACTTCATCATGCTGACGTCAGATGGTGCCTGTGCTGGAGTCTCTTTCCAGAGCTATGAGGTTGTGACCCTGATATCACCATTCACATCCCCATGATGGTACAGCCTGCTTTGTTCTGTTGGGGCAGCTGACTGGACTGCTCTGCTGCTTCTGCAGAAATCCCAGGTAGAAAGTTTCACCTTTTTGGCAAGAACAGGAAGCATCCCTCACTGCTGACTTGTTCATGTGTGGGAGTTGAGATGGCTTTCATGTCCGCAGTTTGACTTCTTAAGAGAGAAGGTTGCTTCTAGTAAAGTCTGAGGAATGAGGAAGAGAAGCACGGGAGAGGTGGTTATGCTGTTATTCCTAGTTGTAGGAGATTGAGAGCCTGATGAAGTCAGCTGGCTTCCCCATACTGCCCCAGTGAGACCATTGACTTCTGATTTACAGAGCACACAGAGCTTTCCACATCAGTCCTGAGGATGGCACATTGCAGAAGGTCTGGCTACCAGGGTCAGTTTGTTCCCTCTCAAAACGGTATTTGCCATATGGAAAAGGAGAAGAGGATGGCTAGGAATTCTGCAAAGATTTCACTTCTAGTGAGAAAACAAGAGTATCAGGCTGAGCTATGCATCTGCTCTTCCCTCAGAGTTGCTGTTTGGAGTGCAAAGATATCTGCTTAGAAAAGCAGTTGTTTCTTGTGTGTATGTTGCAAGATTTGCAGCTGACCTAGATTGAGATTGTTCCTGTATCTCAACCACACTAACTACTCTTTTAAGATCACCATTCCTGGTTCTTTTCTTATCAAGAAGGGAAGAGGAAAAAAGCCTTGTCTGATTTGGGATATCAGCAGCAACTTCTACACACTATGAATGTAGACAAGCCAAGTTTAAATCAACAGACTCAGTAAACAATTCCAAGTTGTAAAATAGGCCAAGGAAGCCAGGCAAAGCAGGCCGTGGGACCTTCAGCTGGTGTGAGGGAAGAGTTAGTAGTATGGCTGTGACAGCAGCACAGCACTGATGTTGATTTGAGTTGTGGATGTATCCTTGATCATTTGATACAAGGTCTTTGTTCTCTTTGCTGTTGATGTCTGCTCATCTTGAGACAACCAGAGGAGAGTGGGATGGAGTGCCTGTCACCTGCAGTGCCTGAGAAGTACTTTCATAATACACCTTATTTTCTTGAAGTAGAATCATAGAATCCTTAGGGTTGAAAGGGACCTCTAAAGGCCACCCAGTCCAGCTCCCCTGCAGTGCACAGAGACATGCACAGCTAGATCAGGTTGCCCCAGGCCTTATCCAGCCTTGCCTTGAACGTCTCCAGGGACAGAACACCCACCACACCTCAGTGGTTGCTTTTTCACAGCTCTTGAAAGTAGTGTAGCCCTGCTCTATGATTTTGGTACAATAAACACTCTTTTAAATCTATGGGATCTCTAGGAATTTTCAACAGTTAAAAGACCTTAGCAGACTGCTCTAGAAACTCTCAACTCTTTTTTGTTGGTGACAAGTTAAGATTTGAGGAAGAATGAAAGCAATTATATTCATGAATTTTTATACTACACAAAAGCATTCAGACAAAGAAGGTGACAGTCAGTTTAACTTTCCTGTGACAGGACAGAATCACAACTAGAAAATGAAGTAATAGAAGAATAAATATTTCCAGTATCCTGCATTCTCAGTCAGAGACAGGGTTGCCCTCTGTTCCGAAGATCTCTGTTAATATGTAATAAGTATAATATTTGGAACAGTGCTAGTCATTACGAAGACTTTCAAAAGTGTCTCCCAGTGCCAACAGAAGACACAACATCCAGACAGGCTCTTAAATCTGCAGCGTTCATTATTTCAACATATTCATGTGTGTTTGAAGATGAGTCTTTCATTGGACTGAGACTGCATATGTGATGTAGCTGCTCTGTAGCACTTCTGTGGAGGTTCTCGACATACTACCTGACAGTGGAAGTCTTCAGCTGTTTTGGAGTGGCTTGAGATGTCTGGTCAAATGAGCAATCCTCAGGAAAAGTGCCTTATGTGTCTTGTAGGGAACTGTGGTGGGAGTCTCCATTTGCTCTTGTTAGTATAGATGCAACTTGCATAAAGGTGCAATAACGTGATAAAACTGCAGTGTTGGTAGTGCAGGATCATAGACTGATTGAGGCTGGGAGGAACCTCTTGAGGCCATTATATCCAAGCTCCCTGCTCAAGCAGAGCCACCCGGTTCAGGTGGTCCAGGACCGTGTCTGGGCAGCTTTTGGTACTGAAAATCCATAACCTCTCTGTGCAACCTGTGACAGTGCTCAGGCACTTTGCACAGTCAAATGTGTTTGTGGATTGTGTTCTTAGGGAGCCTCCTGTGCTATGGTTTGTGCCCAATGCCTCGTGTCCTGGGGAAGAGCCTGGCTCCTTCATCTCTGCACTGTTCTTTCAGGTATTTATAGATATTGATGAGATCCCCTTGAACCTTCTCTTCCCCAGGCTGAACTCACCCTTCATCATCTTTTTGGCCCTTGGTTGGACCCTCCTGTGGCTTCTTGTCTCTTGTGGTTGGGAGCCCGGAACTGGACTAAGCACTCCAGGTGTGGCCACACCAGTGCTGAGCCAAAGGGAGGAATCAACCTCAGGGCAGGACTTTGCCTAAGGCAGCCCAGGATACCACCAACCTTATCTGTGGCTGGTTCATGTTCATCTTGTCTGCCAGGACCTCCAGGTCCTTTTCCTGCCAAACTGCTTTCCAGCTCAGTGGCATCTCTGTAATGTATTTGGCTGTGAGATGGCGACTAAGAACGCAGAATTCAGAAGTGGAAGCAGCCCAGCTGCTGGTAAAAACACAGTTTTAGTGTATGTCCTTGACCATTGGTAGCGAAGGACATTTTTTGATGTACCTACAAGAAGTGCACTAGCATCTGGTAATCTAGCACTTGAAAAGGAATAAAATATATTCTTTGGAAGAATAGCTATAGGTGGAAGAGAAAAGCTGAACTTCTTCCTTTGCCATTTTGTAATCAGAAATCAACCTGACCTGGGAGCATAAATTGAAGAGAAATTTTCATTAAGATGATATTGTTCTCGCAACTCAAGATGAAGCAGAAGTTTGCTGTTCACATCAGCACTTCTCTGTATTTGCTAAGAAAGGGACTGGGTAACCAAATTCAGTTGTATCTGCCAGTCTTACCCTTGTTCTCAGTAAGGTTTTTCAGCTCTGCCTTTAGGTAGGTTCTTTCAAGTTACAGGAAGAGAGGAGAACCTACAGGATTTTGACTCAGTACCAGCCTTTAAGAAGCTACATAATTGAAAAGTTCTCTCATCTTTCTTCACATCTTGCTGATGTGAATTCATGTTGATCAGGTAAACTTTTATCTTGCCAGATCAATAAATATCCACACCCAGGGTTTCTATATGGCATATATTCCAGGGAATGGACAAAACCATGTCTTGATTTTTGTTCTCCTTTGGTGCTTTTGATCATAATCATTTTGAATGTTGTGGTGACACACAAACATGCTGGAGTATTCAGTAATGCACACCACAACCCTGCAGACATAAAAGTGAAGCTTTTGTTACAGTAACAGCTCAGATAAGGTTGCCTGTTGTTCCACATAAATTGGCTTTTCCTGTACAAACAGCAGCCTTGAAACCTGGGCCACTGAGGGCACTCACATACGAATGCAGTTGGACATAAACATGAGGCTGAGGGCAGCCAGTTGAATTCGCAAATGAATCCAGTTCCCTGTAGTCTTAGTACAGTCCCACAGGAATGTGGCACACTAACAGCTTTTAAGCTAGGGCTGCTCAAAGCAGAAGCAATGTCTTGAAAGATCCAGTGGGCAGTAGAGTCATTGTTTGCTTTCACTGTGGATAGTTGGTAAGGGTCTGGTATGGTTCCAGTTTCACATGATTTCACATGCATCACTAACACTGCATCCATAGTACTTTCTCTGAGCCACTCTTGATGATACAGAAGTGCCACGACTGCACTTTGCATTTGTTGCCAATGCTGAAAAGGAAACACTTCTGCACATGAAACAAATTCTTTTCTACAGTTTAAATCAGATCAGGTCCTCGGCCAAATCCATCCATAACCAATGTTTCTCTAGCATCCTGAGCTCTCCTTTCTCCATGTCTCTCTCCACAACTGCCTTGTGTCAATCACTTGGAACAGCTGTGTTCTCTTTGTGCTGCGTTTGCCTCTTGGTGGTGTCCCAGCCTCTGCATTCAGCAAAGTGCCTTTTTAATCAGTGCCTTTTGCTCTGTTTCAGGTGTGTTCTTTGGGCTCAGGCTTCTAGCAGCCCTTTCCCTTATGTGGGAGACGTGAGCTGGTACCAGTGTGTAGGTGAAGGATGTTTTTACACCACTGAAACTGTCCCCTTTTATTCCCACTGGCCCCTTTGCTGGCCTTTTGTGTTCCCACTAAACCAAGCACTTGGTCTGGAGATGGATGCCATGGACAGTGGATGCCATTTCTTGGCCTGTTTTTCATAGGAGGTCATTCTGAGTGGATGCAAAATCCCTTTTTTTTGGCCTTAAAACCTGTGGCTTGGCATGCTTTTTTAATTCTGTCATTAATACCTGAGAATTGCTCCTGGCTGACATGAAGACCAGGAGATTGCTTCAAACAGAATTGACTTGAGGTGCACCAAATGGGAGCATGAGGCTTTGCAAGATTGCCAGCATTTCCATGCTCTCGTTTTTTTTCCTCATTTCATTTCCATGTGCTTTGTGTATGTCTGTGGTTTTGTCTGGTTTGGGATAATTACTTCACGGGACTTCTCCTCTATTTGTCACTTCCTGCATTGCAGGAGCTGCTGCTCGGCAGTGCTTCAGACGGTGCCTCACCACAATGGAGCAGCCAGGCTGATCAACCACATCTTGCAGTTAGATTTTGGCAACTCATGCAGTTTTAACAGTGATTGTGATGTGGCCTGTAGAGATTGTCATTTCTGGTGAGGACAGTCCAGTTCTGTTGGTGTAGTATTCCTAGGAACAGTGCACTGCATGAAGTGCATTACACTCAACAGAAACAGCTCATACAAAGCCTTCACTGGTCCTCAATGGAAGTTGAAATGTTTAAAATTTGAAATAGCTAAGATCAATCCATGGCTAAGCTGTTTATCACCACGCATACTGCAACAAGAGATGAGAAATTCTTCCATACATGATCTTTGTGGTGACCCATTTCTTATCCCCAGCTTGAATGGGCTGACTCACAAATCTTAGGAGAGAACTTGGTAAGAAGACATGCTGCTCTCCTCTGATTGTTCAGCTTAGTTTTTCATAGAATCATACCAGATCATCTGATCCAACTCTTCTGCAGTGAGCAGGGACATGCAGAGCTCGATGAGGTGCTCAGAGCCCCATCCAGCCTGACCTTGGGTGCCATCCTCCACCTCTCTGGGCAACCTGTGCCAGTGCCCCACCGCCCTTTTCATTTAGCAGCGATGTGCCTTAACAGTTTTCTGCATTTAAATTAATTGTTAAATGCAAGTCAACAAAACTCCCTGTCCTCCTGGATTTCTTTTCATTTTCTCTTGCTTTGATTATGTCTCCAAATGCAGTATGCAATGTTCTCTGGCCTATGCAGCGTTGACGTAAATTGCAGGGCATTTTTGTAGTCTTACTGTGCATGGCTGTGTCTCACTGTGCCATCAGCCTCCTTGAGAACCAGACAGTTTTTGAGGCATCAGTTCATCTATTCTCGGGCAGCTAATATGCAGTGTCAAGTCTGATCTTGTCAATTAGATTTCTCTGCTGGTGAATAGAGTTAGGGGAAGTGGATAATAGGGGTGATTTTTCCATTGCTCTCAATGACTAGTTCAGGCTCGCTGCTGATCAAATGGCTGAAATTAATCAGGATGGAATTCTTCCTTTCTGTCAAATGCACGTTGCTGTTTCTGTGTTTTATTGGATTCAAGGGATGTCTTAATGCTCTCTGGGTTTTTGTTTCTCATTTAAGCTTGACATTAACAAAGATTCTTTTGTTTTTCCAGGGTGACTGTTGGATCTGTATGGAGCTCATGTCTACCTCGTTTGATAAGTTTTACAAATATGTATATAGTGTATTAGATGATGTTATTCCAGAAGAAATCCTAGGCAAAATCACTTTAGCTGTGAGTACTTTGTTAAGCTTTTTTTGTGTGTGTGTGTGTGTGATTTTTTTTGAAGCTAGTTTGAAAAATTCGGGTCTCGTATTTAACTTGTAAGAAAGACGCTTGATCTGCATGCAGTACAACTGTTGCTGTTGTATTGCATCCCAGTTTTAATGAACCTTGAATATATTATAGTTTTCCTATAACACATTACATGGTGGAGAATTGGGTCCTGGTGGTCTGTGACTGACTCTGCTCAAACCCTTGGTTGTCTAAATACGAGGTAAGCATTGGCTCTGCAAAACAGGCTTTGGGGTTTGGACTGTGAAGGAAGGAGTGTTGAAAAGTATCCTGAGATTTCTCTCCTGCTGCTGCCCATAAAACTATGTTGGGCCCATTGGATTTCTGCAGGATAGTCTGGGCTTCTGTGGTCCAGAAACCTCTGGTGCCATTGGGCAAAGGCTCCTAAAAATGCAGGTGGGTTCTTCAGCAGCAGCTTAATCAGTGCTGTTTTGGTCCAGTGAAAAAGTCACAGCTGAGCCAAGTGGGTTATTTCATTGAGGCCTCTAAAAGGTGAAGGGCTGCAGGAGTCAGGTTTGGGAGTGACAGGAAAATGTGAGTGATGTGTTGTAACAAAGCACAAACTGCCTCTCTACAGTAAGTTTATGTCATGCTTTGTCAGAGTGGTTGGGAAGTGCTCATCAAGTTGCAACCTGTGACCTCTTGAAAAACTACAGGCAAATTCTGCTGAGGGTCAAATCCTGGGAGAAGGCCATCATCCTCATCCTTCCAGAAGGCACCTTTAAGAAATATTGTGCCTACCTGGACTTGCAGTCACTTCTTACAAGCTAGCAGTCTGCCTTGACAGCTCACACTCTTAGTTATAAGATGATTAAAGTCAAGACTGAAAATCCGGTCTAAGACGGCTGATGGCTGTTCTGCTGCTTATGGGGTGAATCATCATGCTACTGACCAGCTAAATGTAATACTGGTTGAAGCAAGACCTGTGCTGCAGCCTGGAGTGTTTCAACAGATCATCCTTGATTTCATGCTAGCGTTCTGTTACCCTGAGCTGAAGAGCTCTGGGCTCGAGTCTGGGAGCAGGAGATTCTGTCAGGGTACAGGAAGACCATCCACTCTCATTCCTCCACAGACCTGCCTAGAAACCAGTTGGTGTTTTGCTCTTCAGTGGAGTGTGGTAGCTTCAGGTGACAAGCAGAGCCTGCGCTAGGAGGGCAGAGGGAGGCAGTCGCTAGGAGGGACAGCACTGCAGCTACCCCACTTGGGCTCAGCAGAGTTTGCCAGAGCTTCTCATTACCTGAACTCTTTATTATGTGAGCAGGAGGGAATGTGTGCACCAGAAAATGCAAGCAGGAAGGAGCAGGCTTTTGAGGCTTTTTGTCCTCACAGGCATACGACTTCAGAGAGCTTACCAGCAGAACGCTAACATCCTCTTGCCATCATCATTAAGGCAGTCTTCTGTCCACCACTTTCACTGATCTATGTGAAATTAAAACTTTTTTTTTTAAATTGTCCTGTGTATCAGGCTTTTTGAGTATCTCTTCCACTTGGTGCGGAATGAGTAAATCACAACGGTGTGCAGCTCCTCACACCACTGAGATGAGGAGCTGCTGCTCAGGCAAGGGAATAGGAACAGCAGAATAGGTCATTTGTTTCTTATGGAAAAGATACAGCACAAGGCTGGAAATAAGTTCTTGCTTAATTTAACTAATATCAGAAATTACTTAACTTCATCTCTTGCTTTCCTATCTTGAAGTGTGATCTTTCAAAGATACTTGCCCTCTTTTAATATCACCTTCTGTTTGCAGAAAAAATTGTGAGAAAAACGTTTTAATCGTATAGTTTATTTGCAGCACTCATGCCTATTTGTATTTAATGTTTTTCTCCCCTGCTCTTGGAACTCCAGAAGTTGAATAATCACAAGAATTTCATGACATCTGCTTATTTTTCATCTGTATTTTTTCCTAGACTGTGAAAGCACTAAACCACTTAAAAGAAAACTTGAAAATCATTCACAGAGGTAAGTTCATCTATTTTCTTCAATTTGCCTACAAAGCTAACAGCAAGAATTTGAAGCAAGCTTTGCATCAAGTCACAGTGTAATTCGCACAAGCCCTGCCACAGATGGGAGCATGTGGAGCAGTACAGATTCTGCATTGTGATCTCAGGGGTTGGTGGCTGTTTCCTTGCCTCTCTGATCCACGTTTTTCCATACCAAGCAGGAGTTGGACTGTTCTAGTGAGCTTTCAGGGTCATTGGGTGGCTCACTCCATCTCCTGTCACTCTGGTTGGACCTTCAGTGGCCATGAGAACAGTCAGGGGCCATGTGCAGCAGTCACTATTGGTGCTGATTCTCTGCAGCTGCCCTTTGGGAAATTGAACTCTCCAGCTGAGACTTAACAGTTTAAATTTCTTCCCCTTACAGATATCAAACCTTCCAATATTCTTCTGGACAGAAATGGAAATATTAAACTCTGTGACTTCGGCATTAGTGGACAGCTTGTGGACTCCATTGCCAAAACACGAGATGCAGGGTGCCGGCCGTACATGGCGGTGAGTGGGGCTGAGCTTGGTGCTGGGTGCCTGTGGGCTGTGCAGCTTCCTGACCTCTTCATCAGGCCTGGCTCAGAGCATCTGCCCAAAGTGCCAGCTTGGTTCACATGGGATAAGCATTCCCTTCCCAGAAGAAACAACTCTAGAATAAGCACCGTTAGTAACAGGAGACAGTCCCTTCCCTGCCCACTGCCACCCCTCTGTTAATGCAGCCCAGGGTGCTGTTGGCTGTCTGGGCTGCAGGAGCACACTGCTGGCTCATGTGCAGCTATTTGTACAACAGGACCCCAAGTCTTCCACAGGGCTGTTCTCAGTGTGTTCTTCTCCCAGTCTGTACTCATGTACCTCTAGTCAAGTGCAACACCTTACATTTGGCCTTATTAAACCTCATTAAATTCTCACGTATCCACTTTTCAAGCCTGTCCATATCCCCCTGGATGGCATCCCTTCTTTCTGTTGTATCAAGAGCACCACTCAGCTTGGTGGGGATACACTCAGTCCCACTGTCTGTGTCATTGATAAGGATGTTAAAGAGTGCTGGTCCCAGGACAGATCCGTGGTTACACTTCTTGTAACCAGCCTCCACCTGGGCATAGGGCCATTGACAACAACCCTCTACAACCATCCAACCAATTTTTTATCCATGCCTTTCAAAATTACAGTGATTTTTGAAAACTACTTTATTTCCAAAGTGTGCCATAACTTAATTCCGAGAGAATGTAATTCTGGAGAGCAGTGGTAGCAGCTGCATGGAAATCGCTCGCTCTGAGCCGTGGCTCCTGGGAGTCTGTCCTGCTTGTTTGTTTCCCTCCTACTCCCAGTGATAAGAACCGTGGTTGTGACTTTCTGAGCTGTCTGAGAGTTCAAATACGCAGCACAGGCTGCTATGAAAAAGTGTTCCTGGGTTTTACCTGAGTTTGAGGAGTGGCTTGTGTCTGAGCTGTTTGTCTGCTGCTGTAAATGTAACTAATTCCAGCAGCACTTTAACTCTTTGTGCCTCAATATGCTGAAAAATGCTATTTTCTGAACTGTCTTATCTACAGAGATTCAAGAAAAAAACAAAGATAATCTCTCCTTTTGAAAGTGTAATTCCCATCTGGTCTGGCTAACTGCTCTCACATGGCTTTTATCTGACTGTGGTGTCCCAGGAAAACCTGTTTGCCCTAATTCTGATCTGTGCAAACAGGAGCCTGAGTTTCTGAGTATTTGAACTTCTCTGTTGACTGTCCTGGTAGCAAAGTGAGCTGGCTGGAACTGATGAAATCTGTTTTTGGAGACCACTGCTGTGGTAAAACAGCGTGTGCAAGTTCCAGAACCACCTAACTTAGTGAAATGGGGAGCTTTGTTTAAAGACCTGGGTGGTCTGGAGAGAGTTAGGGGCATTTCTCCTCTCTGAGCTCTTTTGGCAAGTGTCTGGATTTCCTTGCAAGGAAGAGAACCATTTGGAGCTACTCAGTCTGTTGTGTTGGTGGGGTTTAGGATGCTGAAGCAGAGGGCCCCAGGATGGGATGGAGCTGGGGCAGGGTCTGTGATACCTTGCTCACAGGATGCCTGCTGCCTTGTCTAGGCAGTTCTGATTGCATCACTTGTGGAGTTAGGAATACTGTTGACTTTCCCCTATTCTCTGAGGCGTGCATCAGTTCTGTATATAGGTGTCTTGCTCACCCGCTGTCCCCTACAAGTTCAGTGGACTATAAGTAAGAGAATTCGTATTCCTTTTGCTTTTGCTTAGAACTGTGGGTAGATGGTCAACTTTGCTCAAACTATTGGTTTAATTACTACATGACAATTATTGGTGTGTTTGTGAATAGCTGTGCTTCTTCATTTCCCTTGGGACTTGGGTAAGTCAATAATACTTCTTGATCTCCCTCCCTTTCCACACGCACCGTGTTCTTTGTGCACATCTATCACCAATTCCAGAGTGGGTTGGATTTTTAAGTGAGAAAAATGTTTCAGTTGTGTTTATAAGAGCCTTGGCATGGTATATGGTTTGTGGGATGAGCTTCAGCTGGCAACTGGTGTGGGAGACTGCTGGCCTCTTCCCTTCTCTCCAACTCAGTGACTTCTCTCCAAGTCCATGTGCATTCCCATGTACTGGGAAGCCTGGGAAACGGGCAGATGTCCCCAGCAAGAAGACACAACTGCCAGCTCCTTCTCTGTGGCAGCAAAGGCTGATGCTGTAGAGATGCTGAATTTACCTGGAAGTGAGTCGCACTCCTTTGGAAGGGTAAATAATTGGCTTCAATGTGAAATAGGTGAAGGGTGCTAGCTTCCATAGTGTACCTGCACTCAGCCAGGGTAGGTCTGATGAGGGCTGCTGGACCATGCTCCATGCTGATGAGAGCATGTTGCCTGCTCGGCCTTTGGCACTTGCATTAGTTCTTGTAGCATGAGCACTTGCCCATCAGAGGAACCTGATAACACTGTGTTCACTGGAGCCAGATCCCCAAATAGCCATTGATAACAATAACATTGGATGTCTGCCAGTTTGACTGGGAGCGGGCTGATTGGGCAGCAGAAGCCACATCCAGCTGCTAAGCAAGTGCTTTGTGTTTGAACCAAAATGGTTGGAGCTGTCACGGAACGCACCATATCAGCCTTGGAGCTGCCAGTTCTGGAAAAGTTGTTTTGCTTTGAATTTTCATGTGGTCATTGCATTGAAATAAGGAGTAAATATGCCTTGTGTACTCTGGAAGAAAGGAGGGAAAGGCTGGAGCCCCCTGTCATCCCAGGATAGCCAGTCCTCAGGGCAGTTTTTGTGGACAAGCATGATGCTGAGCCCTCCTGAGACCCATTTTGCTGCCAGCACTGTGGATTTGCTCTAGGTGAGGTTTTGCACCATGATCATGCTGGGCTTGCAAGCCGTTGCCAGCCCTGATCCTGCCAGCTGCTGCTCTTCTGCTTCGTTGTTCCCCTGAGCCAAGGAGAGCCAGTTCAAGGATCAGCAGTAAGAAAGCAGGCCCTCCCAAAAGGAGGTGGCATTTTTATGCAGTTGGCTGGTTGAGAAGGTGCAGAGCCTGAACAGTGGCACAAAAGAAGCAGGGCTCTGTGGGGGAGCAGAACCTGGTTGCCCTGTCAGTTTGGAGCAGCTCTCAGTCAGCTTCATTGCACTGCAACATCAGCCCCTCCAGTCCTTCAGCTGTGTGCCCGGCGCAGTGAGCCCTGCCTTGTCTCCTGCCACAGCTGGGCTGGAGAGGTGCCATGCTGAAGGTGACAGTCTGCAGTGTTAACATCTTTTCCCCTTTTTAATGCCCAAGGGATCCCAATTTCTGGGTCAGAGGGGAGTGATGAGGCCAAGCTGGAAGCAGCTGGGCTATGGATGCGGGATCCACGCTCAGTAGTCCTGCCTTGTCCCACTCCTTTGGGAGCTCTCTCAGGACAGAGGCACAACTGTCCCTGGGTCCTCCTGCCAGACCTGGAGCTGCCTGTTGCAGCCAGGCACGGGCACCCTGTGCTGCTCTTCCTTGGCTGAAGTGGCATTGCTGCCTCTGTGGCCATGGGGGCTGCATCTTCACGTGCTAAGAGCTCGCACACAGTTTGACCATGCACAGAAAAAGGAGTTCCCAAGATGGACAGCAGGGCTGTCTCTGTGCAGCTCTGTGGCCTCTTTGTGGGTGCAGGAGGAGGGCTGTGGGGCTGGGATGGCACGGGCAGAAACCTGGGTTTAGCTTCACATTCCTGACCCAGCGCCCAGGTTTTCTTTGGGCTTTGTCATTCATTTAACTGAACAGGCAGCCTGCTGGTTTGACTTTGTGCAGCTGAAATCCTCCATGATTCTTCTGATCTGTGTTGTGCGCATTGGATTTCTTGTTTATCTTTTTTTTTTCTTTTCGTTTTTTCCTTTTGAATCTCAAACTTGGCACACAGCCATCATTTCGTGACTGAGAAAACGGATTTGAAGGGAAGCAGTGAGACGTGCAGCACCATCCCTGTGCGCTGCGCGGGCGATGCCAAAGCTCTGAGCACAGCCCTCCCCTCTCGTGTGCTGCTGATGTCACCCACATGCTTCTGCGGTTTCAGCTGAGAACATGCCTCTGCTTACTCATTCATAAGCTAAAATCATCCATGAGGTTTGCCCAGCGTGGGACTTCTCCTGTCCAAACTTAGCTCCTTACGTCACGCAGGGCAGAGGCTGTGCAGAGCAGCGGCACTGCGGCACTGAGTGTGCTGCAGAGGTATGGGTGCTTTGCTGTGGGGCGAGGCAGCAAAGAGAGAAGGAAAGGGTCACACAGAATCACAGAATCACAAGGTTGGAAACGACCTATAGGATCATCTAGTCCAACCGTCTTCACACTACCGCTGCTACCACAGGCTACTAAACCAGATCTTGCAGCTCCTTGTCCAGACGCCTCTTGAACGCTGCCAGAGATGGCGACCCCACCACCTCCCTTGGCAGGCCATTCCAGTGCCTTCCAGTGCCTGACCACCCTCTGAGAGTAGAACTTCCTCCTTATGTCTAACCTAAACCTCCTCTGGTACAACTTGCGGCCATTTCCCCGGGTCCTGTTTGTTGCCTGGGAGAAGAGGCCAAACCCCTCTTCACCACAACCTCCCTTCAGGAAGTTGCAGAGTGCAATGAGGTCTCCCCTGAGCCTCCTCTTCTCCAGACGAAACAATCCCAGCTCCCTCAGCCGCTCTCCATAGGACTTGTGCTCCAGACCCCTCACCACAGCTCCCGGGTCCACAGCTGTGCTTTTCCTGTTATCCTTGAGCTGCTTGGCTCCTGTTGCTGGTGTGTTTGAGGCCAGGTAGGCATCCTGCTGCAGGAGGACCGTGGCGATGTTCCATTGCTGAGAGCAGCAGTGCCCTGCATGGCTGTGGGAGCTGCTTGACTGCAGCTCCCACCTGGCACTGAAGTCTGATTTCAGCTGAGTGTGGTCTGCACAGTCCTCCAGGATCAGAAATCTTCACATTGCATTTCTTTTTTGCTGGACTCCTTTTTTCCTGCGTATCTTGAAAGTGTGCTCTGGTTTCACATTAATACTGTGGAAAAATAACTG